ATCCAAACTGCTTCCTAGAGCACCTTCAAGTTCTTGCATGCATAGACACATGCAAGAACACACACATACGTACACACAATCAGTTTTATAATACAAATAGTCTGGCAATGCTGCATAGATGCAAATATTGAAACACTGTGGTCACTAAGGAATCAAAATCACGACTTAATTTCATCTAAAGGGCAATGGCTATTACACAGTGGGCACAAAGCATAGCATTCATAAGGGGTGTGCTGGTAAATGTTTAACAACCAGTTCTTGGGGTATGCGCGTGCGTGTGCGTGTGTGTGTGTGTGTATGTATGTGTGTGTAATGTAAGCATGACACAAGCTCAGTGTGCATTATTAATGTCTTATCCATCGCTTTCTTAATTTTGGACAACCAATGAAACATCTGTTAATCTGGGCAATTTGTATTTTTGCAGATATTCATTGATTTCACTTAGGTTATCAGATTTATTAGCAGGTAATTGGGCGAAATAGCTCCTAATAATTGCTTTGATTTTGTCTTTACCAATGGTCAACTCACCCCTTTAATTTTTTATACAGGTAATTTGGTTTTCCTCTTTCTTTTTTAAAATCAAATTAACCAACAGTTTATCTATTTTACCGTGTTTTTTCCCCCACAAAACCAGCTCCTAGTTTTATTTACTAGTTCAATGGTTTTCTTACTTTTAATTTTATTCACCTCTCCTTTGATTTGCAGGATTTCCAACTGAGAAAACTGAGGGAACTGAGGGGATTAAGATAGCAAGTGGTTAATTGTGGGAACTAAGTGAACCACACTGACTCCGTCTTCTAACTCAATTCTCGAGCTAGCTCAGTTCCTTTTTTATTCAATTACGAATCTAGTCCAACTTCTATCCTTTATTCAATTGTGGGAATTGGGAGAAAAAATTATTGTCTTGTTTGAAGCCAGCCCTGAGTGCCTGGAAACCTGGACCATCTCTACTTGCTATTTAGAGACCCTTAACTAAGGACCACAGTTATGTTGACCAGAAACCCAGTCAGATCCAAAGACTGACGCAAGGAGTTTTCTCGCAATTGCACATCTCAAGCAACCCGCGTGTCTTATCTGAAAATTGGCCCCATACTGATCAATCAATTAGTGTTTCCATATTCCTTGGATTATTTAGAGACACTTAGAGGGAGTGTGATACATCTTTTTCTGAATTCAGGGAATTGCACCTGTTCACCTTTCCTCTCCCAATCTGGAAAGTTCCTAATATTTCATCTAATTAGAAATCAAATTACCGAAAGTTGTATTATTTCCTTTGAATTAATTGGCCTTATTTGATTGTTTTTAATGTATAAACATCTGTTTTCCCTTGTATTCAGGGGTCCAGGCCTAAGTTGAGAAGGTCCAGTACTCGTTGGTTGGGAAATTACCATGTGCTGCTTAATAAATAGATATGCTCAGATGAAACTTTTTTTCCCTCAGTTATTTTATCTTTCATCTGCCACACAACTTGGTGTCTAATTGGAAACTTTTAATCTGCTCTTTTTCTAGCTTTTTGTGTTTAGTTGCATGCCCAATTCATTGACCTACTCTTTCTCTATTTTACTGATGTAATGGTTTAGCAATATTAATTTTCCCTTAAGTACTATTTTGGCTGTATCATATACATTTTGGCATGTTGTCTCATTGTTGTCATTTTCTTTAATGAAATTGATTGCTTCTGTAATTTGTTCTTTGGCCCACTCAATCGAGGATTTGATTATTTAGTTTCTAGATAATTTTTAATCTGTTTTCACAGCCCTTTATTGAATGTAATTTTTACTGCATGATGATGTGAAAAGGAGCTATTTAATATTTTTGCTTTTCTACATTTGGCTATGAGATTTGTATGCCCTGATATCTGGTCAATTTTTGTGTAGATGCCATGTACTACTGAGAAAAAGGTATATACCTTTTGATCCCCATTCAATTTTCTCCAGAGTTCTATCATATCTAACTTTTCTAAACTTCTATTCATTTCTTTAACTTCTTTCTTGTTTGTTTTTTGGTTAGATTTATCTAGTTCTGAAAGGGAAAAGTAGAGATTCCCCCACTAGTATAGTTTTACTGTCTATTTCCTCTTGTAACTCATTTCACTTTTAAAAAATTCAAAGGCTATATCATTTGGTGCATATATATTTAGTACTGATATTAGTTCATTGTATGTGGCACCTTGTAACAAAATGTAGTTTCCCTACTTATCTCTTTTAATTAAGTTTCTTTTTGCTCTTCCTTTGTCTGAGATCCTGATTGCTACCCCTGCTTTTTTTTTTTATGTCAGCTAAAGTATAATAGATTCTGCTCTAGCCCCTTACTTTTATTCTGTATGTGTCTCTCTGCTTCAAGTATGTTTCTTGTAAACAACATATTGTCTGACTCTGGTTTTTAATCCACTCTGCTATCTGCTTCTTTTTTATGGGTGAGTTCATCCTATTCACATTAACAGTTATGATTACTAACTGTATTTCCCTCCATTCTATTTTTTCCCATTTATCCTTCTCTCTCTCTCTCTCTCTCTCTCTCTCTCTCTCTCTCTCTCTCCTTTTACCCTGTCCCTCCTCAAGTCTATTCTCCTTCTACCATTGCCTCCCCCAATTTGTCCTCTCTTCTATCACTCCCCTCTTCTCTTATTCCCTTCCCCCCTACTTCCCTGTAGGGCAAGATAGAGTCCTATACCCAACTGAGTGTGTATGTTATTCCCTCTTTGAGCCAATTCTGATGAGAGTAAGGTTCAAGCATTATCTGCCACCACCATCCCATCTTCCCCTCCACTGTAAAAGCTCTTCCTTTCACATGTCTCTTATGTGAGATAATTAACCCCATTTTACCTCTTCCTGCTTTCTCCCAGCGCATTCCTCTTTCTCACTCCTTAATTTTATTCTTTTGAAATCATTCCATCAGAGTAGACTCACACCCATGCCCTTTGTCTACTCCTTCTATACTCCTTTTTTAAAAATTTTTTTTTTATTTTTAGGCAATTGGAGTTAAGTGACTTGCCCAGGGTCACACAGCTAGTAAGTGTCAAGTGTTTGGTCTGAGGCCAGATTTGAACTCAGATCCTCCTAACTTCAGGGCCAGTGCTCTATCCACTGTGCCACCTAGCTGCCCCGCTTCTATACTCTTATATCCTACTTCTAACTGTTCTAATAATGATAAAGTTCTTAGGAGTTACAAGTTTCAACTTTCCATGTAGGAATGTAACCATAGTCAAGTATAGCCTATAGCCATCAGACTCTACCCTCCTTCTCTTTTGGACAATTGGATTAATAGTGTGGGTCCTCCTGCAGGAAAGTCACAAAACTTTCATTTCTGCAATGCTCCCAATAATGTCTGGCTCTGTAATTCTTAAACCTGTAGTTTCTTATTGTGTGTGTAAGGATATTTGCTTCTTAAATTTTGCAACTGCAGTAGTTACCTTTGTTCCCTCTGAGGAATGTAAATGAATTAACACTGTTTGTTCTACAATAGGGGAGTAGCAATTGGACCTCTACCCACCCAGGCTGCACCTTCTTTACAGCTCATAGAGTTGCCCAGGGCACATGAGGTTAAGCAACATGTCCTTAAGGGTCACATGGTTAAGAGGAGTCACAGGTAGGACTTGACCCTGGGTCTTCCTGACTCTAAGGCCCACCCTCCCTCTGCACTGTCTCTCGTGCTATGGAAAATCGACATGCATTTACACATTGTACATATTTATATAATATTGGGTTTATTTACTGTATAAGTAGGGCCTTTCTCCTGTGTTAGGATGTTTACATATGGGATGGTTCTTTCCCTTTCCCCATGGAGTCTGGGTTAGCATTTCATATATAGACTCCCAAGGAAAAAAAACCCTAAACACCTCAGTTGAGGGCTTTGATTCGCACTTGGGAAAGCAATCCACGGCCGTTCTCCCAGGATTTGCCAGATGATTGATAGTTGATGAGACCACCTCAAATCATTCTTGTTAACCAGCCTTCAGGAAATTCAGAAACGTCTCCTTCTATTCTCTCATCCCCAACAACTGTACTGAAGTCATCCTGAAGTGAAGGTCTGGAATTTGAGGCAACATGGTAATGTGGAAAGAGACACATCTCTAGTGCTTCCCACTTGTGTGACTTTGGGCCACTCCAGGCCTCAGTTTCTCATCTGTAAAATAAACAGGTTGGACTAGAGAGCTGAAATTCCTCCCAACTCTAGCTCTAGGATCATATAATCCAATTTCTATCCCGGAACTCCCACAAAGAAGGGTGTGCCCTCAGTATATGTCAGAGATGGGAGTTCTCTTAAAGAGGGAGATCTAAGAAACTGTTCTGGAAGCTGACATGCCATCACCCTGATCTGGATGCATCCCACTGCAAACAGCTGCCAAGACTCTGCTTTGATAAGCAGATATGTCTCCATTGGACACATAACTCTTGTGTGTAGAGTACAGGACCTGGAAAGGCATTGGCAGCCAAATGAAGGAACCGAAATGGGCGAGAGAAATTGATCAAGTATCTTTATCTCCGATTTCCCCAGAGACCCCCTCATTCTAATTGCTGCCATGAATGGCCCTAATTAAGTCCTTCCATTGGTACAGATCATAACCTACCAATGCTTTATAATCCTGTCTGACCCTCGTCCAGGTCCTCCCATAAATTTTCCATGAAAGATTTATCCAACGTACTGGAAACCAGCCTCCATATCTCGACATTAAGAAAGTCCTCATGCAGTACCTGAGTTGTCCATCCGTAGATCTCTCTCCCTGCAGCTACCCAACCATCTCCCTCCCCCCAGAGCCAAGGCTCCTGGATGATACCACTTCTCAAACACACTGGAAAAAAAAAAGGCAAAATGTTTATATCCATATTGTATAAGCAGGAGAAAAAGCAGAAATCAGGTTGGATCATTTCTGGGGGATGGAAAGGCAAGGTCCTGCCCAGAGACAGAGAAATGATGCCTGCTGGTCCAGGATTCCTCTGGGGCTGGAAGATAAGGGGTCACTGAAGAGTACCTTTCTGGGAAAAAAGCCAACCACCTACCTCAGTGACAAAGAGAGTACGGGGATCAATGATGTCCAGGAAATGCCGGAACCGGCCATAGAAGGAAGTCTGTAGAGAAGAAAGGAAAAAAGGAAAGAGATTAAAATGACTACTCCCTGGATAATTACAAAAACCAAAAACCCAAAACCAACCAAAATCCCATCCATATTTAGCATCAGACAATGACCTCTAGGACATCTATCTCACCACAACCATGGAGTTTGGGCCATTTCTGTAGCCCGTGTACAAGTGAATCTGTAAATGAGCGTACTAACTACCTCGATTTGCTTGAGCTCCCCAATTATCCAGGTAACCTAGAAGAATTGTAGGAGGACTGGCTGTATTAACTAGGATACAGAGTGGTTTGACATACCAACAATCCTCTGCAGTGACTGAGAACAAGCCCAGCTGGATGTGCAGAAAATCAGCAACTCTGAAGCTAATTAAGGTCATACCAGCTTTGCAGCAGACTCTGAGCCATCTGATGGCTTACGGACCTACCGGGGGCATCCTCATCTTCAGAGACTTCCCTAACTGTTGTTTACGGGGCTCTTAGACACACCTTGTTTTACAGTTTTTGAAGGCACCCCCTTACCCTATTGTTTATGCTCAAGCCTTGGACTGTCAGGTTGGCTTATCACCAAGAATGTCTTCTGATTTGTGTATCAAAAGGCTATAGCTGTGACACCTGGAATTCCTCACACCCCGTTTCCTGGATCTTCCCTTCCCCTTGGGAATGGGGCTCCCTGCCTCATTCCTTTCTAAGACCTGCAATTCCTGCCTTTCTCCCCAATTCCCTGCTTTCCTTTGTTTCAAAAGTGCGTGTGTGTGTGTGTGTGTGTGTGTGTATTTCAATACATACATATATACATGTATGCTGTTCAAATTAGGCTAACTGTTCCTTTTCAAATGTTTTACTTCCCTGCTTAATAAAAATCTTCTTTAATTTCACAGGCATCACCTTCCTCTGGTTTTCTTCCCTCTAGGGAAAAGGGTGATTGGATCTCAAGAACTGGCCTTTGTGTTCCCCAGGTATCTTCCTGCTTTGGGGGAAAGGGAGCTCCAAATTCCCTAGAAAGAGCGCCTGCCTCGCCTGCCTCGGTTTCCACCTGCTGAGGCTGTATATCCATACGTGAGCCTCAGCCCACTCTAAGTCCTACACTGAGCTTCCTCCCATGCTGGTGGGAAGAAGGGACAGCAGCATCTCTGCCAAAGACTCACTGTTCTCCCCCTCTTCCACTCTGAACAGTCAGAGCCCCAGGCCTTGGGTGTTTGAGACACAATGAATACCATCAGCACCAAATCAAGTCAACAGTGAAGCCCTTCCTGTGTGCCAGGTACTGTGCTAAGCCCCCAGGGGTCTCTGGGTGGGTCTGTCTGTTTCTGGGTCGGTGGGGAGGGGAAAAAAGGAGGGAGGCCAGCCAAAGAGGAAGGGCAAAAAGGAGAGCAGGAGCCTCGGAGAGCCCACTGCCCCTCCCCCCACCTCCCCAGCTCCAGTTTCCCAACCTTTCCTTCTCCTTCCACATTAAGCCCTTGGCAACAGCCCTGGGCTCCGGGGCTCCAAAACACTGAAATTCCAAGGAGGAAGGTATGGGCAGCCCTATCCTTCATGTCACTCCCATGCCCCCAGGCACCCAAGGGTGCTGACTTCCCCAGTCTCATTTCCCAGTAACCCCCCCCATTATCTCCTCCCTCCACTCAGGTCAGGCTGGACTCCTCATGGTGTACTCCCCAAGCACATCAGACCCACTCACTCCAAGGCACCCAGCTGCGGTGGACATTAGGGTCAGCAGAGGCTGGAGTGCGAGAGGGCTGGGATCAGGGGCAGCAGCAGAGGAGGGGTTCTGAACCTGGATTTCTCAGAATACAAATCCGACACTCTACCAGCTGCCTGGACCTCCCAGAGGCAGGCACAGCCATGCCAATCCTGTTGGATGACAATAAGGAACCCCCCCCCAAGCCAAGATCCAGCAGCACTTGTGTTCTGTAGCAGGCACCTGCCAGCCCAACGACACAGACACTCCTCAGAGGCAGGGGCTATTCTGCTTTAGTCTGTGAGCCCAGGCTGTTGGCACAGCCAACTGCCACATAGGCACAGGGACTGGTCCTGTGATTTGATTTGCTATAGGGAACTCCCAGAAAAGGAAACTCCTTCCACCAACGCGGATCTGTGGCTTCTCTGCAATGGAACATATTAGGAGGTTGCCTAGAGCACCCAGAGGTGAGTGCCCACAGTCACAGCCAGGATGTGTCACACTTGAACCCAGGTCTTCCTGGCTATACTATGCTACCCAGCCCATAGTGGGTGTTTTAAAAAGTGCATGAATTTAGGGTTTAAGTACTGAATAAGTATTTAACTGATGAGAAAAAAAAAGCCGAATTTCCCCTGTGCAACAAGCAGGTCTCTCATCCCTTGGGGTGCAGCAGAAAGAGCCCTGGCTTTGATCAGATGGCACAGGTCAGTGCCAGGTCCTTGGAAGGCAGTTAGTCCAACTCCCATGGGAAACAGGAGCCTCCTCAGTTATACACAGTTAGCCACGCTCAGCTTAAAATACCTCCAGTCACAGAGTATTCTGGCCAAGGCTCTTTTATCTTTCAATTTGATCGACACTGATTGAATGCCCACTCTTTGTAAGGCAAAAGCTATCACAGTGCGGGGAACAGAGGCCTGATCTTAGAACCAGAAAGATGAATTCAGTTCTGACAAATATTAATTGCATGACCCTGGACAAGGTCCCAGGCAACTTTCTAAGATTAGAAACTACGAACAGTCTGCCACGGTGGATAGAGTTTGCACACTGGGGATTATCTACAGTGAAGAAATCATAGACCCAAATTCTCCCCCTAAAAATTGTGTTTGGTATTAAAGACACAAAGGAAAAAAAAGTTAAGCCTCAAACAGGGCACATTATACATTTTCAAATCTCACCTAGGCCTCTGTCCAATCAGGAAAGATGAATTTCTGAGTTCTGGGACAGAACCAGAGGTTTTCAGCAAAGGCCAAACCAGAGGCACTGGACTTGGGGGTCAGAAAAACCTGAGTTCAAATCCCCTCTCAGGCACTTACACCCTGTGTGACCTTGAACAAATCCCTCAGCCTCTCTGGGCCTCAGTTTCCTCAGCTGGCCTCTAAGGTCCCTTCCGGCTCTAAATCTAAAGCAGGCCCCTGCCATCCCCTAGATCCAGTCCAGGCAAGTGGCCCTGGGGAGCAGAGAAGGGAGAGGATCCAATGGGCAAAGGCATTAGAAAGGACTTCTGAGTCTGCATTTCCACCATTTATCTCTACACAGGCCCAGCTCCCAAATGACAGTCTCAAGGAAGAAAACAAATCAGAAGGAAAGAAAGGAAGAAAGTAAATCAGACGGTCAGTTAGCAAGCATTTGTTAAAGGCTTGTGATGTGCCAGGCTCTGGGCTAAGGACAGGCAGATAAAGGAAGGGGGGAGGGGAGAAGGGGGAGAAGAAGATAGGGGGAAGGGGATGGGAAGGAAAGGGACAAAGGAAAGAGAAACTCTGCTTCTGGACTCCTCAGGAGACCATCTAGTCCAGGGAGGACCTCCAGGGTGGGGTGGCCACCTCTTCAGTCTTTGGCTACCCAGGCTCTGCTTGGCCTCGGGGCTCTTGGGAATCCTTTTTGTACGTCTGGCTGCCTCCTAATTGAAAGCTCCCCTCTTCTGCCCCCTGCAAACTGCCCCCCACCCCTGCCCTCATCCCCCTCCCCTTTTCCTCTTTTCTCCCTTCTCAGCAGCAGACTTCACCTGCTCGATGGAGCCAAACCCGCCTGCTCGCTGCCTTGAGTACGACCTTCCACCTCCTACCTGCTCACCTTCGCACAGGCTGACTCCCTTGTGCCTCTTGGAATCCCTGGCTTCCTTCAAAGCTCTGCTTGTGCTGCCTCCCACAAGAGGCCTTTCTGGATCCCTCCCCAGCTGCCAATGCCTACCCAATGAAATTATTTTGCATGTACTTTATGTATCTGTCTTGGGGAGAGGGGGTTATTATACACACATATACATACACACACACACACACATGTGGGGAGGGAAAGAAAGACAGAGAGCCTGATTTAAGGTTTATAGAGTGCTTTCTTTATACATATCATCTCGTTCAATTCCATGGGAGCGGATAAAGCATCAGGCCTGGAGTCAGGAAGACCTGAGGTTTAAATCTGGCCTAAGACACTTACTAGCTGGGTGACCCTGGGTAAGTCACCTAACCTCCGTTTACCTCAGCTTCCTCATCTGTAAAATGGGGGTAATAACAGTACCTCCCTCCCAGAGTGGTAGAAAGAATCAAATAAGATAATTAAGCACGTAGCACAGTGCCTGGCACACAGTAAGCATTACCTAAATGTTAGCTATCATGAGGTAGACGAGCAGCTAGGTGGCACAGTGACTAGAGCACTGGGCCCGGAGTCAGGAAGAGGAATCTTCCTGGGTTCAAATCTGGCCTCAGACACTACCTGTGTGACCCTGGACAAGTCACTTCACCTTGTTTGCCTCAGTTTCCTCATCTATAAAAGAAGCTGGAGAAGGAATGACAAAGCACTCCAGGATCTCTGCCAAGAAAACTCCAAATGGAGTCACAGAGTCAGACATGACTGAAAAACAACTCAACATGAGGCAGACACTATTATTATTCCCATTTTATAGAGGAGGAAACTGAGGCTAAGTGACTTTCCCAGCATCTTCCTGAATCCAAGTCTAGTGCTCTATTCACTGTGCCCCCTAGTTGTGTGACTCAGAACGAGTCATTCAGCTTCTCTCTCTGTGGTCTGGGCAACTTTGAAAGACTCAAAATTGCACTCGAAGGTGCCAGTCTATGTTGGCAAAGGGGGCTTCTCTCTGGAACATTATGCCAATGAAAATCACAGACCCAGTCCCTACACCATTAACCCCCTTATTCCCAGCACCTAACATGGTGTCTGGCATAGAAGGTGCTTACAAATGGTGGCTCACCGATGGGTTATTCCCTACCGAAACAGTAGATTTCTTGGCAGAAATTGTGTCTGGGCCTTCCTCTGTGTCCCTTACCATGGCATTCTGAGGGGCCTGCATGTAGGGGTAAGGAA